CCGCCGAGGAGGGTGGCGGTAAGGGCCCCGCTGCTGTAACAGAGGCCCTGCCGGGGGCGGAAGGTCACCGCCGAGGAGGGTCGCGGGTCGCGGGTCGCGGGTCGCGGGTCGCGGGTCGCGGGTCGCGGGTCGCGGGTCGCGGGTCGCGGGCGGGCTCGGTCTGAGCTCAGGGAGGAGAGGAGTGGTGGCTGCGCGTCCGAATGAGTCCCCACACGTTTCGCTCTGTTTCACTAGTAATTATTTGCGAGGGTCGCGGTAAGGGCGATGGTGTACATTTGTTGTCTAAAAGGATCTACGGGTATTATTGACCTGTGAATGTGAAGGATGCTGCAGCAAAGCAAAGCGGGTACCCTGCATCGATGCGCATATGTGTTCTAAATTTCATCGTTAATTAACTTATAACTCAGTTTTAGAGAAAATTGCATCATGTAAGGAAGACTATACTGGAGTGGGTACTAGGTTAGCCGTTTTGGGCCGACACGTGACCTTGCGAAGCTAACTCCTCCGCCAATAATCAACCGATCAAAAATCCGAACACATCGTCTGGTTCCTTAAGGTCTACCACAACTTTTCATTCATTCATTCAATAAAATTTGTCATCGAACTCACCCAACTTGATTTGCATAATCCGCCTCGAGTGCCTCTACCATGCCTCTACTAGGGGAGTCCGACTCGACGCGGCAGGAGCTAAAGCAGCTGAGCAGGACATCGCCGACGCGACGAGCCTCATGCCTCATGCGCTTCATGATGTCAGCGCACCGTCCGCCAGGGTCAGAGTCAGGGCGTAAGTGCCTCCTGCAGCAGCTGTCCGTGCGTGGAGAGGGGAAAAGGGGGGGGGGGCACATCTGGCAGCGAGCAGCGAGGTTGGCAGTGCCGCTGGTGCAGCAGCGCGGCGCGGGGGGCAGCACTGCGCAGACGTCCGTGCTGTCTGCGCCCGTCTGTCTGCTTTTGTTTTTCGTCAGTCAGTGTACCTCTGCTGCTGCCGAGCCGAAACTTTTCGTGAGCCGTCTTTACACAACACACGTACATCAGCCACCACCACCATGTCAAACAAGATGCCTCTTTTTATCTGTCAGACGCGTGTGATAAAGCCCTTCTGAATTGGGCTCGCACTCCCCAGAGCCTCATATGTGCGTGGCTTCTAGGTGAACCTCCTCCTCGACCCGACAGAGGCCAAGACGGAGACGAGAATGGGCGGTGTTGGGAACGGTCTGGGTGACGACGGCCCGAATGACAGGCACTCCCTCATGTTTAGGAGGGTCGGCTCGGCCGTCTTCTACGGCGCAGCGTCCTTCATGATCACGGTCGTCAACAAGACAGTCCTCACGACCTACAAGTAAGTTTCTTGGGAGCCAGCCCTGGGGAGGGTGGGAGGTTAGGGGCGCAACTTGTTTGTAAACATTTACCTGTTAAGTCGGTGCTTTACACCGTGCCATATTAGGGTATTCGGGGTGAGATGCCGGCATAGTGGCTAATTTTAACTGTTAAATGTTAGCCAGTTTGAGGTTATGGTTTTCCACTACCCCCGATGCCTCACATTACTAATTACCAGGTTTGATTTGTTTTTTCAGATTCCCGTCTTTCCAATGCCTTGCACTTGGGCAGATGTTTGCAACAATAATTGTGTTGTATGCAGGTAAAAAAGCTGGAGTTATATCATTTCCTGATTTAGAATCAAGCACACTGCGAAAGGTAAGACTCATCTCGAACCATGGGTTTTTGCTCTAATCGCTGTTCCAGTTTTTACTTATTTTCTCATCTTAATATGGCACCAACTTGATTTTCATTTATTTCTATCAGATTTGGCCTTTACCTCTTATATATATTGGTAATGTAACTTTTGGCCTTGGCGGAACAAAAGAATTAAGGTAATCCTGTCCTTAACATTGGGATTGTTCTCTACAACATAGTATAGCTCCTTGATAATTTAACCCTTTTTTTGCAATTCTGTTCCCTGAATAGTTTACCCATGTTTACTGCCTTACGAAGATTTTCAATATTGATGACCATGATTGCTGAGTTTTACATCTTAGGGTTAGTAGTTCTTCTTTAGACTAGAATGATGTGTTCAAACCTCAAGTGAAAAAAAAAAAACAACAACAAAAAACTCTAATGCAGTTAATATTGAGCTCACCCTGTTGTTTCATTAAAACATGGTCTTTAACATCGTATGACTAACATCAACCTACGGCTTTCAGGGTAAAACCTAGTGTAGCAGTGCAGTTTTCTGTATATACAATGATTGCAGGAGCTGTCATTGCAGCCAGGTAATAATTTACATTGAGCAGATTTAATTTTACAGGGTTTTGTATTTGAATTCTGTTTACTTTTTGGATTTCCAGCAATGATCTGGCTTTTACGGCCGAAGGCTATACATTTGTTCTTCTCAATGATTTCTTCACTGCTACTCAAGGAGTTTTCATGAAGAAAAAATTAGATTCCAAAGAATTAGGGAAGTACGGCCTTACGTACTACAATGCACTCTTCATGGTTATACCTTCATTTCTCTTTGCTTTCAGCTTAGGTGAAATAGACAGAGTAAGTAACAATCCCCTGTTTTAATGATGTAAACATCTCCCATGCTTGGTTTTGCTTACCTTTTCCTGTCTCTTTCTTTTTCCTCACAGGCAATAGAATATCCAGATTGGGGAAATGCAATGTTTCTCATTCAATTTTTATTATCCTGCATCATGGGATTCATCCTTTCTTACAGTGTGATTTTATGTACCCATTACAATTCGGCACTTACAACAACCATCATTGGCTGTTTGAAAAATATCAGTATTACGTATTTGGGAATGGTTATTGGTGGAGATTACATTTTCAGCTGGGTGAATTTCATTGGAATCAACTTCAGGTTAGTAGCTTGTAAAGAAAACAAGTAAATCATAGAGACAGCATATTTTCAAATCCTTTAAAATATCAGTGTGGTCTTTACACCAACCTAATGTTCACTTTCTATTTATTTTTCAGCGTCATTGGAAGCTTGGTTTACACCTGGGTCACTTTCCGCCGGAAGGACCCTCCTGTATCCAAACCACTACTGTCTTCTGTGACAAATGTATGATATTGATCAGTATGGTGCTGTGCACCATATGTAAATTTTATTAGATTTTTAAGTTAACTTTAATCAAAGGGAAATTTTGTCTTATGAGTCCCACACCAAAATGTTATGTGTTGCTCAAATCCTTGTGCTGTTACAAAAATCCGTTCTTATTTAGAAGGCATATGCTATGCTTGGACGCTACTCATATTCCTTATTATTTTCTTCTAGTTATGTTTTTGAATATGGCTTCTGTTTTAAGAAGTCAATCATTGCCATATAGGTTAAGTATTTTATAAGTTTCACATAGAATGAAACAAAATTCATCAAATCATGCTTTCAACTGGTTCATTCTAAGTCTAGGGTATCTATTGATTTTTAGAAGTTTTTGGTAGAATATTTTTCCTGTTTTGTTTTTGTTGTACTACTGTATTCTTCCGTCTTCATCTACTTATTTTCTAATCTTAAATTTGGGCCATTGATTCTCCCCTGTTTCATTATAAGCATTCTTGCTTATATTTAATCAGCTTGATATTTATAATTAAATACATAGTTCATCCTGTGAGCTTATGGTGCTAGTAGTCAAGAAAATCTCAGAAACATTGTGGACAAAGATGATGTACCTGCAGTGCTCAAGTCATTGTGTGATTAGATATCTGTTTACGTTGTATTATTCAATGCCAAACTAACGTGAAACACTTATTATAGGAAGACAACTGTTGGCCTCTTACTTTATAATTTTATTTTAAATGTGAATGATTGTTGTTTCATTTTAAAAATTTAGTTGAATTAATTTTTTGAAAGTTTTTATTTACTGTATGAAGTAATTGCTTCAAGGGCCTTTATGTGATGAATCTCTGTATTTTTGTCACAAGAAGAGTTTACCTCTTTTGTACTTTTTGTTTTTAATTCTGCTAACAATTTTCTCATACATGTCTCTTGAATATTCCATTATCGACTGACATGTTCCACGTAACACTTGTTTATTTTTTGTCACACTCCGTCAGTTTATTTATTTGGGCTCTATCTTCTGTTTTATTGCTATCAACTTTTGTTAATAGTTCCTGTAGCATTCTGCACACTATAAATTTAAAGAATTTCTTTATTTGTTTCTTTAACAGAGTGATTATTTTGTACAATGAAGTTACAGGGTTAATCCTAGTATTAACCTGATGTGCGTGATTTTGTCAGCAGATGTGCTGAAAGGAGTGTTTTAAAGGAGGTAATTGCCATTAATTTAGATCTTACTTGTGGTCTTCAGTCATGTATATAACTTTTAAAAAAAATGTGACCTTATTATTTGAATGAGTTTGTGCAGTCCGTGTTAGTGTTTGAATGCTTAAATTTAAAACATTAAACTTGTGTACAAATATTTTTTGAAGATGGAGCGCTAGCATGTATAAGCTATTGTAATTAGACCAAATTCAGAACTGCATCACTATTTAGATAGGTACAATAAATTGTTCAAAATACTTCAATTTTGTTGTATAACTAGACTTTTGTGTTTACTGGTGTGAGGAAAGTGTCTTTGCATCCAACATTATGTACAGCATATCTGTGATACAGACTCTTTTCCTTGTAAAATTCAGTTTTGATTCTATGGTTTATTGAAAGTGAGTCAATAGCATGTAGCATTAAAGTATAGAGTGTTCTCTGTTCAAATTATGTTTAAGTCGCAAAGTCAGTAATGTCTTCTACTATTTTAAAAATAAAATAACAGAACTCTAAACTAGGATCGTTATTTTCCTTCCCACTTATCGAACATACATTTTGAACAGATGTCTTTCTATTTATAGTTCAAAGTGTTCTGTGACACACCTGTTTAATCACAGCAGACATCACAGTGTTTCACGTGTGTCAAACCACGACAAAGGAGGCATCAGGTGTTGCCTGCCTTTTGCCAGCTGCCATTTACGAAGTCCTGGTTTTCGTTTTTATGAATGGATTTAGAAAACTTTGAAGGACAGCTAGGTAAAGGTTGTCAGTTTACTATATACCAGAACATTCAGATTTTTGCATTGCTATTGACAAGTTGCAATTTTGATGAAAAGGATGGTTTATGGAAGACATGTCTAATTGAAATAAACTCTTGTGATAATGTTTCAGAAGGGGTTTGCATAGCTTGATGAAATGCCCTTTTAAGAAAAACACTGTTAGAACTGTCCCCTTCATTATTTCAGTACATTATTCATCTTGTCTGCCCTTTTTGTTTGTGGTACCTTTGTTGTGCTTTGTGTACATTTCATTACTGAGGACAGGAAAAAAATAAAATTTGCGGATTGATTTTGTTAATCTTTATACCAAACGCATTCCATGTGTGTTCATGTGCGAAGAAACGCACACTACGGGATCTTCCGTAAGGTATACACTCTCAGCCCGTTACTGACATTTTGCAAATACACAATGAACTTGCTTATACAGCAGTAATACTCACAAAATTGCACGTAATACTCACAAATTTAGT